GATTTTCTTCTTGTCCAGCTTTTAAAAGCATACAAAACTTGGAAATATGATATGATGGACAACTCTAGTATTCAATTATATCTCTCAACACATCAGGATCTTGTCTAATTCCTTCAGTGCCATCCTTCCAAATCATAGTCTACTACTGATTTACTGACTGAAATCTTCACTCTAGTAAATAATTGAACCAAGATATGGGAAATCTTGAATAATTTTAATGTCTTTATTGTCTACTTTAAAGTTATGGATATAGAACCATGGCTATAAAGATTTGTTTTTTTAAAAAAACCCAAACAACCCTGCACATAAACTTGGTCAGGACCACCAAGCAACTTGTTTTCATCTAATATTACCTTCCATGAGATTTTTTATTTAAAAAACCCCTCTGTTGATACCAATAATACTTTAGTTTTTCTCAACACTTATCAATGGCAATAAATGAAACAAACTTTAAACAAAGGTTTGAGACCTTATAAACACTGTATAATTTAACTAATCCAAAACTAGTGTAATTAATGTTATTGGAAGTGATTTCTCATATGTTTGAAACAGCCCATTGGTATGCAAAGTATGTAAATTCAATTCCACAATAAGAAATGAATCATGTGTATTTAAAAACTGAATTTTGTCTTCAGCTGAAAAGAATTCACTTGGCCCAAAATCCATTTTATTTATTTGCAAGAAGAGAATGCAAAGCAGGGATCATCATAAAGAATGATGGCTGAGCCTTCTATGCAGTTCATTTTCTGGCAAAAACAAAATCCAGACTTCTTCTTACGAAAAGTATTCAATATTTAATATTTTTTGGATGTGGCAAAACTGACAATATTCTTTAGGCCTGGGTAACAACGGAAAAATTTGTTTCTAAAATCGATTTGTATTTGGGGGGTTTTTTTGTTTCGATATTTAAAATAATTACAAAATTTTCCCTTAAAAAAGTTCGGTATTTACGAAATTTCGTTAATATTAACGAATCAATTCGTTAAAATGGCGGACGCGGTTGCGCGACGTGAAAATAATAGTTTTAAATAATAGTTTTAACCTCGGAGAAGGAAAGAGGGGGGAAAGAGAGAGAGAGGAGGGGTGAAACAAACCACTTTCTGCCTTCGTGAATGTAAGGGACAGTGAAAGCAGTACTGAAAGATGGCCATCCATTCTTAATAATAATAATAATAATAATAATAATAATAATAAATATAATTAATATAATAGTTTTAACCTGGAGAAGGAAAGGGGGGGAAGGAGAGAGAGAGAGGGTGGGTGAGATCTCTATTCTGGTTTGACAATGCTTCTTCTCAATAATAATAATAATAATAATAATAATAATAACAAACCACTTTCTGCCTTCGTGAATGTAAGGGACAGTGAAAGCAGTACTGAAAGATGGCCATCCATTCTTAATAATAATAATAATAATAATAATAATAATAATAATAATAAATATAATTAATATAATAGTTTTAACCTGGAGAAGGAAAGGGGGGGAAGGAGAGAGAGGGGAGGGTGGGTGAGATCTCTATTCTGGTTTGACAATGCTTCTTCTCAATAATAATATAATAATAATAACAAACCACTTTCTGCCTTCGTGAATGTAAGGGACAGTGAAAGCAGTACTGAAAGATGGCCATCCATTCTTAATAATAATAATAATAATAATAATAATAATAATAATAATTAATATAATAGTTTTAACCTGGAGAAGGAAAGGGGGGGAAGAGAGAGAGAGGAGGGGTGAGATCTCTATTCTGGTTTGACAATGCTTCTCAATAATAATAATAATAACAAACCACTTTCTGCCTTCGTGCATGTAAGGCACAGTCAAAGCACTACTGAAAGATGGCCATCCATTCTTAATAATAATAATAATAAATATAATTAATATAATAGTTTTAACCTGGAGAAGGAAAGGGGGGGGGAAGGAGAGAGAGAGGAGGGTGGGTGAGATCTCTATTCTGGTTTGACAATGCTTCTTCTCAATAATAATAATAATAATAATAATAACAAACCACTTTCTGCCTTCGTGAATGTAAGGGACAGTCAAAGCAGTACTGAAAGATGGCCATCCATTCTTAATAATAATAATAAATATAATAAATATAATAAATAGTTTTAACCTGGAGAAGGAAAGGGGGGAAGGAGAGAGAGAGGAGGGTGGGTGAGATCTCTATTCTGGTTTGACAATGCTTCTTCTCAATAATAATAATAATAATAATAATAATAATAATAACAAACCACTTTCTGCCTTCGTGAATGTAAGGGACAGTGAAAGCAGTACTGAAAGATGGCCATCCATTCTTAATAATAATAATAATAATAATAATAATAAATATAATTAATATAATAGTTTTAACCTGGAGAAGGAAAGAGGTTAGGCAGGCAACAGGCAGGTCTCTGAGTGCTGCACTGCTGTGTCTCTTTGCCCAATGCACGCAGGCCAGAGTGAGGAACGAGGTGAGGTGACGACAGGAGGAGAGGAGAATTTGATCCACTTAAGCAGAGGCCAGGGACCCGGAAGTGGGGTAAATGCCGACCGCTTGCAACCAGGGAGAGGGGAGGGAAACAACTATAAAACTTGCACCAGACACATACGGAAATAATAACGAAACAATAACAAAACAATTACGAAATAGCTTTAAAAATTCGTTTCGTTTTTTAGTTGCTCCTGGATGGTTTGTTATCGCTTCGTTTACCCAAAAAATAACGAATTATTAACGAATTACGAAATTAACGAACAAAACCGCCCAGCCCTAATATTCTTTTAATAGTTTTCTTTTAAAAAACAACATGTGAACTTTGTGTGGAACCAGTTGTCCCCCAGAAGTATTAGGGGACTATCAGGGGATTCCCTGGAACGCTTAATTCAAAGATGATAATCTGAAATGACCTTAAGAAATCAAACAGCCAGGCCAGGAACAATGAAATTAATTTTGACTGGGAGAAATGTAAAGTATGTGGCAAATTGGCAGTGGGATGCACATGTGACCCACCACCTTCGGCTGCAATGTCCATAAAGCTCTATGGTTCTAACAACTTCTGCTGTCTAACCTATTTATGTTTGGATCACCTAGTCCTAGGAACTTAAATGGTAGATATAGACTTATCACAAATAAGAACAAAGTGAGAGAGGTCTTTGAATTCACCCTTTGTTTGCTTGAGACATAAAATCTCCTTGAATCTTAGACAAATACTGAAGAACATTTAGAAAGTTAATAGGTCACCCAATCTGTACTATACCTTTATTCACCACTGTACTGCACTGGGGACATTATGTTCTTTCCACCTATTCCTCTAAACTCCCAAAAAAGTTTTTTCTATGAACCTTAAATTCCACAAGATGCTATGGTGGGATGGTTGCCAGTGTCAACACTTCTGCTCCTCGACTTTTGATGTTTTTGGACTTTCCCCAAACAGAAGTCTCTTTCTTAAGAGAAATAAATGTGCTTGTAGGAACTACTGGTGAACTCCTCTCCATAGAAAGCTATTGCATAAATAGCATATAAATGTATATGTCTGCATAGACTGGTATGTGTGTTTCGAAATTCAGTACCTTAGATCCTAAAATAAGTCAGTTTTGGAAGTTCTCAGAAAGAAAACGTACTGTGCTTTCTTCATGCAGCAGCTATGTACCCAAATCTTTTCAGGCCATGGAGGGGGTATAAGGTATGAAGAGCTGTTGGGGTAAATTGAATTCTGATTCCACACATAAGGGCATTCGTGGCAGGAGAATTTCTTATCCTTTCACTTCTTGTTGCAGCCCCTATGATTCATCCCATGTTTTTTTCAGAGAAGCTGCAATTGAGAGAGATGGCATTCAGATTGTGGGTGCAGGGGAAAAATGGGTAAGAGGGATTATTTTTGTTAATTCAGTTAGTTTAGGACTCTAGCCAATGAGTGTCCCGTGAAACAGGAATCTCACTTCAGTCTGCCTGATTAGCATGCAATGAAGCCTGAGAGGACTGGGATCACCTGTACCAAGATGTTTTTAACAGGGCATTAAGATTGTTCATTATGAATTCCAGTTACTTAACCATTTTGCTTCATTTAAAATTTGGCTGCTTATCTGCCAACATGTTGAAACATACTCTACACTGATATTTCCAAATGCCCTGAATCACTGGCCCCTCACACAGCCAGCTGCTAAGAGTCATTGCCAGTTCTCTCACACCACAGGACTCGTGCTTGCATGCTTTGTTTAAAAGGGATTAAAATGTACTTTGAACATCTGTGAAACATATAGAATATTATTAATATTATGCTGATTATTTCCTTCTAGTGTTGGTCTGGCCACAACTCTGGAAATCCTGGCAAATTAAGCCCCTTCTGGTGATAGTGGGGGAAGCAGTTAGGGAAAGGGGGATGCATGGTTCACAAAGGAACTATAAATGAAACTATAAACGGATGAGCCCAACTTCAATAAGTGGGCTGGGTAAATAATAAGTGAACAATAGCAAGTGGGCCCTACAGTTGGATTGCAGCTCTATTAGACATGTCCAATGGTTAAAGAAGATGGGAGTTGCTGCAGTACAGAGATTTAGCTTGGATCAACTATGGTTATCCAGACAGATATGCCAATATCAGCCTATTATTTATTTCTGCCCATCATTGTCCAGGACATGGTTTCCAAGATCTCAGCCCTTCTACAGCCCTGCCACAGAGATCCTACAGCCTACAGAACTTGCTACTTTTTACATGCAGGATGTGCTCTACCACTGAACCATGGTACATAAATCATTATAAGCCAACCAGTGATCGCTGTTAGTCCTTCTAGCTGATTTTGTGGAAGTGACTTCAGACTAGAGTCTGAACTTTGTCGGAATGTTCTTTATTATTAGAATGCCCTAGTGCCACTAGAGTCATAAAGCAATAGATAACATTTCTCACAATCATACTACATGGATGAGTAATTTCAAGTTGTTGATGTATCCCAAACCATAAACTTAGCTTTCAAAGTGAGATTCATGTTATATGCATTAAATTAAATAGAGAAATATTATACCTACCATTAGCATCATGGGAATATTCTATGCCAGAAACAGTGCATCTCCGGAAAACCATTTTATTTTCAGTAAGAGTCCCAGTCTTGTCTGAAAATATGTACTGAATCTGTCCTAAATCTTCAGTGATATTGAGAGCTCGGCACTGTAGCTGAAGGTCTGTTTCTTCATCATATAAATCCTTATCTTGATGAATAAAGAATACTTGGCATATTTTAACAATTTCAATGGAGACATACAAAGAAATGGGAATGAGAACCTGAAATGCACAAAGACACAAGTGTCATTAAAAGAGAAACACACAAGGTGTCATGAAAATCTGTATGACTGAATCAATTTAGGAGGAAAATTGCAATGTTGTACTGTACCTTTTTAGAATTTTAGACAGTCTGATTTAAGGCCAACACTGTAAAATCATAAGAATGCCAGCAAAAGTTTACTGAGACAGATTAGGAAAGCCTATGGAGTTGTAGAGTTGATATCCATAATTAGACCATATGGTAGTATTATCAAAGCTTGGAAAGAAGAAAACGTTTTCAGGATAATAAGATGAGCTTGAAAGCAACTAGGAAAAGAAGAAGGAAAGGGGAGTGGAAGGGGGAACAGAAAGCACAGTCAGAACGGTGCCAGCATAGAAGATTTTGCAAGGGGAAAAATAGTATTTTATCTTTATGTACTACAATATTCCAAAGTAGCTCCCTGTCAAAAGTTGAGGCAAAAGAAGACTGTGCAGAAAACATGTTTTCTCAACAGAAGTTTTAGTATAAATGAACTATTTTTTTTGCATGTGTTTTTTAAATCTATTTTCATGGATTTTCTAAATCTATGTTGAAAACATTACCTGCAGTGGAGTATTTTCCCCCCCTTCAGAATGCATTTTATTTCCCACTGCAGATAATTAGCAGTCATATACTGCTTGTGGAGGGGGATCAAACCTGCAAGTGAGCTACAAAGCACATTCCAATTACATGAAGGGAGACTGCTGCTGCGGAATGTATTAATCATTCTTTCATGGGTGAGAGTTTCTCCAACTCGGGACAAGGAGAAGGAGGAAAGTAATAGTTGGTAAAACATCTAGACTCCCTCCCATCTTTTCTATCATCATAGAGTCATAAATCCTGACCAATTCTGTTGGCAAAAAGAACTTGCATCCTCCTCAGATGTTACTTTGCTTTCTGAATATTCAGAAGAAAGAAGTCCAGGGATTTGTGGAGCCTCTCCGCTTCTGGCAGTCAATACAATTGACCACGCCAACTGAAAGTCTGTGGGAGTTGTTGTGTCATAGGTAGCATAGTTTGATTGCCAAAGGGCTGTTACATATTTAGCTGCAAATAAAAGTAAATGCCAAGTGTATGAGTAAAGTTCTTTTAGAAAGGACAACAGGAGGAATCTGGGTGTGGTGTGGCTTGACCAGGGAGCTAGCCAGGCAGCTAGCTAGCCATGTACCTGATCTTGGGATGATCTGGATCTGTCTGTACATACAGCAGTGGTTCCCAACCTTTTTTTGACCAAGGACCACTTGACCAGGGACCACTTGACCAGGGATCACTTGATCATGGACTACTTTACAGCATTAGTACCAAAAGGGTTACAAATCAGTTTTTGGTCAACTTTAGATTCGGTTTGGTTATTTGGGGTGCTGATTCAGAAAATTGCATTGGATAGATCACATCAGCTCTAGTTTCTGATACAGAACACATGTCATCCAGTAGTCACCATCTGCTTACCCACAGAAAACCATATTTAATAAGCCTCAGCACTATAAGAGGGTTTTGCGAGACTAGTTGCTCTCATTGCAATGGTGTAGTAATGATGAGGCCATGGACTATATTGTAGTTCTTGCGGACCACTGGTCTTCCACAGACCACTGGTTGGGAACCGCTAATCTACAGTATCACTGTAGTGTTAGGACTCTAAAGGGAGTGAAGGAGTGCTATCTTAAATATTTTTGCCTGTAATCCATACTTCATGGGCAAGGGGTCATCAGGAGCAGATTTTCTTGAATGAAAACACAGTCTTTAAAATGGAAATTGCATCATATGCAAGTATTTTTCAGTATATCATTAAGTTTTAAAATAAAACACCAACGTATTTTATGTGATATGGGGACTCTGACAAGCTAAACTGTTCTGCTCAGGTCCACCAAGGCTAGGGAAAGGGAACACTCAGTTTTTGACTATACTTTTTTTGACTTAAGGAACATAAAAGATACACAACCCAGATATGTTCCTAGGTTTTAAAAAATACTGCTCCCCAGAGCATCTGGCTGTAGTATCCAAGATCATGTATTTATTGCCACTGCAAGGGATCTTTCTCATGGATGTTGAGTGACTACTGAGATTTTTGGTACTGCTTTAGATTTTGTTGTTCTTATTGCCTATTGTTTAGGAGACTCTCAACGGGAACTGTGCTTTGATGTGACTTTTGTTGTCAACTGTTTTAAGCATTGTAGAATTAAATGTTTTAAGATCAACTATATTTATATACTTGTGATATCTAAGATCCCTTTGGAAACTTAGAGGGCCCAAAATGTTGTGGCCAGATTGCTAACTGCAGCAGATTACAGGAAACATACAGCTCCATTATGGAAACAACTTCAGTGGTTATCATTTTTTTCCAATTGAAAGTGATGTTTATGTCTGATGAACAGGATATATCTTGGGCCCAACCTATCTAAAATTCCTTATTTTTCTATAATGAGACATCCCAAATGTTAAGATTAAGAGCTTTCTCTCCGTACTGTCATCATCACAGTCCTGACTTGTAAAAACATGGAAGAAAAAGACTTCTCAATGGCTGCTCCCAGATTGCGGAATTACCTCCTACAAGATATTAATTTGGCACCCTCTCTGCTCCCTTTCTGGCAGCAGGCAAAATCTTTTTATTTATGTGATCTTTTGATTCTTAAAACATAAGGCAGAAGGATGCTTTGTATGCAGGGTAGCTTGCTTTTATCTTTGATCATTTAAGTTATGTTTCAAACGTGCTTACACTGTTTTTAACAATGTGCTTTCTAACAAAATTCTTTATTTAATTGCTTTTTGAACTTTTGTAAAATAAGATTATAGCATGAATTTGTTTTAAATTATTGTAAGTTAGTATGAGTTCCATGTTAGGAGAAAGAAGGAGAATTAAGTAATTCAATAAGAAAAGTGGTTGACCCTCAGGCAATATCTTTTTTTATAGTGGAATTCTATGCAGATCTCTTGAAAATAAAGTCCTCAAATGCAATGGGACTGACTTCTAAGTGAGAGTACATTTGATTGCAGCCTTCTCTGGTCAGATGGACTAAAAAAATATTTTTTAGCACAGGGTAAATGTAAATGTGTTTGTAAAGGCAACTGTAAGCTATCTCAGTAACATGCTGCCGAGTTACCTGAAAAACTATAATCATTGTCAAAAATAAATACACTGCAGCTTCAACTGGAGACCAGTATTTTCCATTGCGACCTGGGACATCAAAGACAGGCTTTCGTTTGTCATCGTATTGCCAGACCCAGATTCCGTGACCTGCAAAACAGGTGGGAGCAGGTGGGAGAAATAGAAATACAAATTAAACATCAAGTGGAAAAGTCAACATGATTCACTTACATGCTTTTCCCCTCAGAGATAATATTACGGTGCCCTTTCTTGGACTTTTGTGCTATTACTGAGAAGCATTTCTGTTTTAAAAAAAAGGTTTTCTGAACATGAGAAATAAAAGCATACTGCTTTAAAGATGATCAGAAATGAGGAAATTGGGTGCAACACATGTATTTGTTTTAAACTTTACAGGTTGTTTTCAGGGTACTCCTCCTCTCCAAACTGGTAAAGTCTGCAAATTCAGGGCAGTTGCTGTGATGGTAAGAAAAATGGACTTGGACCAATGTGATGTGGTTTCCAGTCCCTATGGAGCTAATGAAACTCAATGGTTGACTTTGAGTTAATTACATTATTTAAGCCTGATCTACCTCACAACATTGTTGTGAGGGTAAAGATGAGAGGAGAAAAGCCATGCATACCTCCTTTGTAACATTGATTAAAACCTTGGGAAGTCTGACTTGGCCACGGTGGTCCACGCTTTGGTTACATCCCGTTTAGATTACTGAAAACGCTCTCTACGTGGGGCTGCCTCTGAAGACTGCCCGGAAGCTGCAGCTAGTCCAACGCTCGGCAGCCAGATTTTTAACGGGTGCTGGGTACAGGGAGCATACAACCCCTCTGTTACACCAGCTCCACTGGCTGCCGATTAGCTTCCGAGCACAATTCAAAGTGCTGGTTTTGACCTACAAAGCCCTAAACGACTCTGGCCCTGTTTACCTGTCCGAACGGATTCTTCCCTACGAACCATCAAGGTCTTTAAGATCTTCCGGGGGTGCCCTGCTCTTGATCCCACCACTGTCACAATCGCAGTTGGTGGGGACGAGAGACAGAGCCTTCTCGATGGTGGCTCCCTGGCTTTGGAACTCCCTCCCACAGGAGATTAGAACTGCTCCCTCCCTCCTGACGTTCAGGAAGCTAACAAAGACTTGGCCATGGAATGCGGGCTTTGATAACTGAGTCAACTTTGGTCCACATGGAAGGAGAATGAATAACTGTGAATTATGACCAGGAATGCTTTGACGATGTGGCTATATAAGTGTGATGATGATGATGTTGTATTGTAATATGTCTTTAATTGTGTAATGATGATGCATTGTGTGGTTTGTATTTTTGTATATGAACACATGTTGTGAACCGGATCTGAATCCCTCTTGTAGGTGAGAAGATCGGTATAGAAAACGTTTAAATAAATAAATAAAAAGCTGGCATACAAATATAACAATCAAATAAACAAGGTTAATATAAACAATATGAAGTTATTCCTTATAAAGAAAAGTCCATCTATAGAAGTAACTCCTCTAATAACTTAAAGGCCGAGCACAACACTTTTTGTGAAACAAGGAGCCCTGTCTCCAAATGCACAGCTACTTGCGTATATTGGAGCCACCCTATACCCTGATCGACCTTGCGACTGACCAGGAGGACCTCTGTCTTGCCTTGATTAAGCTTCAGCTTGTTAGCCCTCATCCAGACCATCACAGCGGCCAGACACTGGTCCAGGATCTGGGGGCTTCCTTGGAATTAGATGGAAAGGAGTAGTAGAGTTGAATGTCATCTGCATAGAGAAGGCACTGAACTCCAAAACTCTGAATATGTACACTCCTTCAAATGCCACCTTAATGGCTGAGAGTGTTGTATATATATTTTAAATATAGTAAGAAAATTATGCTTCTCTTAACTTACATCGCATCTAGCAGATTTAGTTCTAAAATATAAAGTGAATTACACTGACTGTGCTTGTTGTTAGAAGTAAATCACCAACATTGTCTGTAATTTTTAAGTTATTAAAAATGGATGGCATATTTTCTAAGTTTTTAACTTTTTAGATCTCTTTAACTCTGTTTAATATGTTGCAATTTTTGAAATGTTTAGGTAATTGTGTTGAGGCACAACATTGTGCCATTGTAAGCTGCCCTGAGCCCCCCTGTCGTGGTAGAGAAGGGCAGGGTACAAGTATGGCAAATAAATAAATGAATGTCCTTGATTTCCATAGTTTCTACTGCATAACTTTAGGGAAACTCACCAAGAGCTGAAAACAAACACATTGTGAAAAGTATGAGGACACACCAAAGGACGTCGACATTCATTTGTCTTTCCAGCTTACTGCGCTTGTAACGTGGTCCACTGTTATTCAACAAAGCTTTTGTCTCATGTCCTGCCAAAGAAATTGCATCACATTATCTAACTGAACTAGGGGAGATCAAAAGAAATGCAGTGTAAAATTACAAAGGAAAGTATTTCTTACCTGCATAGATTACTATTCCTGAGACCTCTTCTGTATTTCTAATGGTACATCCACGTAACAACAGATTTTCTTTATACAGCGCCATTTTTTTCCCACTTTTATGCACACTGCAGAAGTAAAGGCACAACAAATTATTTATAAATGGCTGTTATTAACTATGGAGGAGGACACATTTAAATTCTGAAAGACATCTAAGAATGACAGAAAGATTGGACTTGGCATCATTATAGTGGGTGTACAAACAAATAACAATAATTCTCTCTCTTCTTCACAGAAGCGCTTCAGTAGTTCTTCATAATTTCACATGGATTTTTTCCCTTCCACCTTGATGAATATGAAGTGGGAAGAACATTTAGTAATTTCTAAAATCTTGCCGTTAAGCTTCTGAATGTGAGGAAATTATTGCTTTTTAATAATGCACACTGTAACTCATTCTGAAGTGTTTTCAGTCCCCTTGCCTTCATTGTTATGATTTATTTAGGAACTCGGAGAGATAAACAGATAGAAAGGCATATAGATAGCTAAAATAAATGAAAAGCTCTTAGTAAGTGAAATAATGTCCTCTTATATTAACTGCCGACTATCAGTTATCCTTGCTTACTGTGTCAGCAGAAACATGAGGAACTTGTATTTGTGAGAGGACATGGCTGCCAAGGTATTTTGAGCCTTGAGAAACAAAACATATACATACATGATAGATAAAGCAGAAAGACGACCGGTAATAGGTTTTCCTGCACTTTCCCCCAAAGAGTTGTGAAGTTGTCAGTAGTGTAACAGTTCTGCATGTTTGCATCAGTCAAGCCAGAGGTGTTCCACTTTAAATCATGCAGTCCTAGTTCCCACAAGGCCAAAACAGCACCAGAGAGATGAGCAGGCTTGATGAAAACTCCGGTTTGCAAGAAACAACTAACCAACCTTTAGGTGCCCTGTCCATTCCCCAACCCAAACAGCCAAATGACAACAGAACAATGAACACTGACTTTGAAAGAGACTGTTGAAGGATGGGAACATAAAACCACAGTGCAACTGGGAAAAGAATAAAATATCTTGTAAGAGAGCATGAATTTATATTTGACAGGATCTAGAATAGGTGGGTAACAAAAAGCTCTCTGGTGCTGCAGAGACGAACTCATTTTTTTAGCAGCCACAGATAACAAACTAACCGTGCAATGTTGTTGACCACAGCTACTTTCTAAGAATCACTGTACTTTTCTGCTTTTTATTCCTGTTTCCACCGCCCCGCAAATTATCACAAGTATTTGTGGGGCCCAATAAAGCAAGATAAAAGTGATATCAAGGGGTGCATTTACAACCTAAGTGTGAGTTGCCGTTGACCATAGCTACTTTCTAAGGATCCCAGTATTTTTGATTTTCTTATTTGTGCTTGCACCCCCAAATTATCTTAAGTATTTGTGGGGACTGATAAAGCAAGATAAAAAGTTAGATCAAGGAGTGCATCTGCACTGTAGAATTAATGCAGTTTGACACGGCTTTAACTAACATGGCTCAATGCTATGGAACCCTGGGATGTGTAGTTTAGTTGGGCACTAGCACTATCTCAGAGAAGGCCTTGTAGAACTACAACTGCCATGATCCTATAGTATTGAGCCATGGTAGTTAATCTTACAGTGTAGGTGCAACTAAGGAGCCGTTCCTTGGCTGCATATGGGTTAGCTCTTCTATTAATTTGTCAGATACAGACATTTTATAGGGTCCAATAATAGCATAATAATAAATGAAGGTTCAAAAACTCTAATTTTTGATCAGAGCAAAGGTAAGAACAGACTGTGGCTCAAACTGTTTCTCAGGGAAATCTAGTCATATCTTTGCTTCAAATCTTATGGTAGTTTAGAGAACCTTTGAAAGAGGCTGCTGGCTATGACCCTTTTGTCCTGAACGCCTGACTGACATCATTTGGAGTTTTCCCCTATGCTTCTTTTTGTCAACACAGAGATGATAGATACTATAGCACTGCACTGATGTTAACTGTTCTTTGCCAGATTGGTTAAATGTGCAAGAAAAAATACATTAAAATGAAGAACTGATGGAAGTCATTTTGAAACTATTTATACATTAAACATTTCTGTTCGAAAATTGCCAGTAGTTATGCCTTTACATATATTTAACTGGGCCATTTTCAGGGGAACATATTTCTCAAGAGAACTGAATTCTTGCAACAAAGCAAACTGTGAATGTCTGAAAAGATAAATAAGGTGGGCTATTTGCTGTTCTGTCAGAAATACAATGATATTATTAAAGTATGCATTTCTACATATGCTTTTAGAATATGTTCAAAACATTACCAAAGTTATTCAATGTCAAACAGCAAGTATATGTCTCTAGATAACTTAAGTGTGAATGCTGTATAAACATTCACTCACAAACAAGTTTTTTTCAGTTAATAATATTGCTTTCTATGCAGCTCAAATGAGTCCAGAAGAGATGATAAAATCCAAAGAAGATTTAAATCATACATTGGCACTAACATGTTGTCTTTAAAGAATCACAGTGACATAATTTGGATTTTTAGACTATAACTCCCAGATTCTAGAAAGAGGTACAATGATTATTTGCTAGCTAAAAAACAAAAGTACAATTATTATTTGATAACTATAAGGTATTTGTGGAAGGACTGCAGACCTGGAGATGTGTCCACCAGATGCAAAAGCTGTGGACAGTCACAGACCTATACCTAGGAGTTGTTAGAAAGCGAGTGGGAAGCAATTTTAAATCATGATAAAGGTACCACCAATGGCAATGGATAATGTAGTTTTGAAATCCTGGTAGAAAAATATAAATTGATGGACATTTTATTCCTATACAAGACCCACTGCAACAATTAGATGTACATGGGTGTTGACTCTCTATTGTAAAACACAGCCAATCAAAAAGAATGCCCTTGATATCTTCATTTTTAGGCCTGTTCCTGGGGTAATTTGGGGCACTGATACAAAAAAAAATTGCTTTGGATAGACCACATCAGCTGTAGTTACTTCAATACAGTTATCATGAATTTTACGGGTGAGCAGATGAAGATTGATGTATGGTGTATGCTCTGTATCTCAAAAGCTGAGCTTATAGGGGGATACTGGTGCCATTTTTGGAATCAGCAAGTCAAATATACCCACAAACAGGGTGAACATTTGAGGCACCAAAATATGTGTAACTGTTTCAGTAGGTCATTATTGGATTCAGAGTGACATTTTTAGAAATGCTCTCCTTTACTCATGCTGTCCCACCTACGCAGCAAGGGATTTCAGTATATGGCTAAAACAATGGTTGAAGGGATTAAGAATTTGCTAATCCATATTAGTGTGGCATCTTTGTTAAGATAACCGAAACGGTTATAAGAAACGTGCAAATTGAAAGATACCAAGATGTTTGAGATATCAGGTAGCAATGAAAATCACAAGGGGTCTGGGCTGAAATTTTAAAAATACATTGAATTGAAATGCTAGTCACTCAATTAAATGTTTGGGTGCGGTTTAGGACAGCAAAATGGAAGAATTTCCTCACACAACATGTCATTATGGAATCTGATTCCTCAAGATGTGGCAATACCCCTATGTAGGATAGAGTCAGTTGGGGAGAGAGTAAGTTGGGGAGAGAGGAAAGAGAGCAGCCTGGTTGCTTTCAAGCCCTTTTATGGGATTACTGGAGCCTTCGAGTTGATAGCTTTGGGAACAAGATGATGGACAAGATGGAACCCTGATATAATCCAGCATAACAGCTCTTGTGTTTTCATTAACACAACGACTTTAATATTCTCATATGAGCAAAATACAGTAGCTGGAGATTTAGCCGAAGGTCTGAAAAAGAATTCCTTCATTCTACCGACTGATGTCATTGACCTAGAAGAAGCAGGCCTGTGTTGAGCTGTAACAGCCTTTCCATGTACATTTTTGTTTTAACATATCTTCCTAAAATGGTTTGGCTTTGTTTCATAATTTATTGACTTCACTGTATTTCTTGTTCAATTTATCTAGTGGTCTTGGGTTTAGTTTCCTCTGTATGCTATTCTTCTGAAATACTTTCACATCAAGGTTTTCACAGATCTTGACTTCATTCTGTCCCGAGCCACTGCTAAGTATAGAAGCATTAGACAAACAGATTCATACTATAAGTCATATGAATTCATTAGTACATTTGCTTTTTGCCAATAGTGGTGTTTGGGAAGTATGACTTTTGCCTTGCCAACAGCCAAAGGATTTGGCTGGAGGCAAGCAATTGAAGCCCCCATGAGAGACCAGTTAATACTGTGCTGACTGGTGGCCCTTACAAGTTACAAGGTTTGGGAGCATCTTGAGATTTTTTTTCCCTTGGGGCTGGACTGGGGGGTTCTCGCTTTCTCTTATAGAGTTTTGGGGCTTGAGAGGGAGTGCCCCTGGAATGGCCTACCAGTAATGACCATCCGGGCCAGCAGGCCAGTAAGTAAACTGTCCCTGGGGTCAGGTGTTCGCCCAGAGGTAGATGAGGAGGTAGTCATTGGGTGAAACCTGCTCCTACATCATGTCCTATTTCTTTGTAGGTACCTCCAGATTAGTTTCCACTGCTTTTGACTGCAGTTTAAATAGGTCAATAAATGGCCCTTTGTTCCATATTTTGTTGTCTGGTCTCTTATTTCATGGTGGTACTTCAAATGAATTTTGTTCCAAACTGACCTGATATGCAGCTCTCAGACTAATTTATGGAGTAAACGATAATTACTCTACAGATCACACACACACATATATAGTAAGGTAATGATCAGTTCCAAAATATATTTGATGCATGTAAAATACATGTGCCATTTATTGTTTATGATTCTTTTTTTAAAATTATATCCTATGCTTTAAAATATAACAAAGCAGTGTAGAATGCAAAATAGAGTAAATACAGTAGCTGAGACTAAGTAACCATGAGTTTGCTTAATCTCAGTGGGGAGAGCATCACAACAGAATTAGGACATCCTTTGCATAGCAACTAAACACTTGGCCACAGTATATACCTGTATTTACTGAAGCCAAATAGAACATTGAATCTAATGCACACCTCAATTTTCAAAACCCTCCAAAAATATTTACCATATTACACAAATCAAATGCACACCCTAATTTTGGGAAGTCAATTTACTTAAAAAAACCCTCACTATTGTCATCATTTTCAATCTATGATGACCCTATGAGTGAGGCCCTACAAGCCCCTACTATTAACAGTCTTGCTCAGATCTTGCAAACTTCAGGTCATGGCTTTCTAGACTGAGTTAATCCATCTGGAATGTGGCCTTCTCCTTACTACTTTCAGCTTTACTAAACTTTACAGTTGCCTCCACTGAGTCATGTCTTATGATATGTGCACCAAACTCTTGGCTTTATAAATAAATGTTTCAGAAACCTGTAGAGCAACATTTCATGAATAGATGGAATTTTCTGGATTTACTCACATGAAGCCTCGAAACCTACTTAGGTCATTATTTGGTTCTTCACATTCAATGATGCTAGTAAACTTCAGTGGGTCAAATTCAGAGTCCTGGAATGAAGAAAATAATAGAGTGAAACCACTAGCAGAACACTTGACAGGAATTAATTTGACTAATGGTGCCATCTACAAATGGTAAGTGTTTTTGTTCTGTAACCAACCTAACATACTGTTCTTACTTGTCACAATTGCGAGTCTAGGTAATAGCCACTGACTTCAAAAGTTATTTTTTAAAAAGATATGAAATGGCTCCTTATGGAAGTTTTTTGGGTATAAATGGCAATATTAGGAACCTGAAAAAGCATTTTCCTCTATAATCCCTAATTTAATCTAGAAGTATTCAGAATGCTACTGCACATGGTTAGCATGTCCTGCGTGACTGTAGTGGCTGGGGACTCCCATGCAATGGCCCTCCCATATTTTAGTCCAAACTTTAAAAGAACCTTCACATGCTACTGAATTAATTTTAGGGTTGGGTTACAGTGACTTCAATAGTAACTTTACTTTATTTATATGCAGCCTTCCTCCCAGATCAGGACCTAAGGTGCCTTGCGAAAACAATAAGTTAAAAAAGTATGCCCTACTCAATGTAAAAACAATAAAAACCGTATCATACATTTTAAAAACAATTAAACACATACAAAAGTGAATATATATATAAAACATGCCTAATAAAACCCACCCCTGCTGATACAGGAAAAGTTTGCTGACACAAAAATGTCTTCACCTGTCAGCAAAAGGAAAACAGGCAGGAGTCAGACTAGCCCTCCATGGAAGGGAATTCCAGAAGGTGGGGGCAGTCACTGAGAAGGTTCTCTTTCAAGCCCTCACCAAGTGAGCCTGGAATGGTGGTAGTTCAGATTAAAACCTGGGTCACATTTACTATCCAGATCACACTGAAGCTACCAGCTGAACTGTGTCAAAGAACCAAGCCTTCCAGTCACTTCATGTACTTCCAGAAGGGATATACTTCCATTTTCTTCATCACCACCTTCCTTGCAGCTTTGAAAACACTTTCTTCACCAAGGAAAAACACACTAGGGGACAGATTGAGTGCTGGGCTAGGACTCTGATGACCAGGGTTGAAATTCCTGCTCAGTTGTGGAAATCAATTGGGAAAATCACGTTCTTTTAACCTCAGAGGAAGGCAACTGCAAGCCATTTCTGGACAAATCTTGCCAAGAAAATCTAGTGTTTGTCTTAGGGTTGCCATAGGTTGGAAATGACTTGAAGACACACATCAACAAAAAACCAAGAACATACAGCACTGATCCCCTATATCCTTGGGGACTGTGTTCCAATACACACATGCCATCAATACATAAAACAATGAATAATAGACTAATATTTTGACTATACCTGAGCTAGACATATACCACAGAATCACATTGGAGTATCTGAAGAGTCCCATAAATGCTTTTGGGTGGATATGTTTTGAAGCATGGGTAAGTGAAACCATCAGTATTGAATCCATTGATAAGGGAGTTGCACTGTACTATCTTAAAAAATGGAAATATCTATTACTGCTGTACTGTAGGTTCCTGCCATAAAGGCATGTTAAAAAAATGAGTTTGTTTTGCCCAGGCAAGCTGCAAATACTGCTTTTCTCCCAATCATTAGTAGGTTTTCAGTGTTTCGAGTTCAAGCAAAGCCAGACTGCAGTCTGGGAGAACACAGATCAATACATTCTCAATTAGGACAATGTTAATACAAGCCTCCTGAAAATATAATCAGGGTCTCCTTAATTGCTTCATGCTGGCTCAGATAAATTAATCCTGTACAGTAAATTAGGCACATACAGTAGGATGCTTCTTTCCTAATTAACATTTAAAATTCTTCTTGATTCCCTAACTAATTAGGCTCAAGCTGGTACTTGTACTGCCTGCTTGTATGGAACATTTACCCACTATTATAAGGAGTTATCATTGGACTTCCACAGTTGAGCAAATATCTTTTTTGTTTAGACATGGAAATTTAAATACTACATTTGTTCAGCTACTATCATGCTAATTAAAAACTTTTTCTGAAATATCAGGTTTGGGGAGAAGGATGTTGCATGGAAAATTAGCCATTGGTTTTCCATTCGTTGCACACGGCTTTCACACTGATCCTGAAAGTGGCACATTTACACTGAGAAAAACTGCATTCCCCCAAACCTGAAAGCATTAACATTTGTATGTGGGGAACCGTGATACTTCCCACAGATGGGACATTCTTTGCTATTCTATAGATTGGCAATTCAGTTGCCTTTTGCATCAATGAACTTTGCATATTTCCTTACCCATCATTTCATCTTTCTGCCTTCTGATATTATCCAATTAAATAGAGTTTTCTCTCAAGGCATGTAACTTTCCATGTGATTCTTTGCAAGAGATGTTGCAAATTTCACCCTATATAGCCTGTGTATTTCTATGTATAAATGCAAATCCTGATACTGTGCTCGCGAAGAAAGCTATAGTACTCTAGTGTGTCACCCAACATTACTAATGAGCTTTTGCTGATGTAAAGACAGTTATATTTTCTATTTACATTTGCTTCTCTAATGAGCAATCTGTTGCTAAGGCTGAACCCAAATCCAGGTAACATGTTGTTGCTGGCATGCCATCCCACAACAAGCTCCACCTGGCACTTCCTTTATTTTCTTTTTGCATCAAGCACATTTTTTTATTCTCACCAATTTTTAAATCCTCTATACAATTATGTAGCTCTATTCAATTATGTAGCTCTATTCTTTTATAGAAAAAAATTAACTCTGTGGTTGTTTTAGCTCTTAGAAGGGTTGATCTGTGTTTTCAGTCTCTTCATTTTAATTCATTCTTATGTTGCACTCATTTTGTATTGGTTTTACATGGATTTTTTGATTCTATGTTACGGTATTTTGCCTGGAGAGATATTTGTAATAAGATAGCTAATGCATTTTAGAACTAAATAAATAAAGTTATGAATTTATAAATTAAAAATCATCACTAAAGACATGAAGATTTTTTTTGTCTCAGCAGTCCTGGGTATAATCTAAAATCTATCTTGCACCTGGTACAGTTGAAAAGAAATAATTCTGCTACATCAGTGTGTAGACTTCGAGCAGCATTTCTCAACCTGGGGGTCGGGACTCTGAGGGGGGGGTCATGAGGGGGTGTCAGAGGGGACACCAAAGACCATCAGAAAACACAGTACAGTATTTTTTGCTAGCCATGTGGCTTCTGTGTGGGAAGTTTGGTCCAATTCTATCATCAGTGGGGTTCAGAATGCTCTTTGATTGTAGGCAAATTATAAATCCCAGTGACTACAACTCTCAAATGTCAAGGTCTATTTTCCCCAAACTGCACCAGTGTTCACATTTTGGCATATTGATTATTTGTGCCAAGTTTGGTCCAGATCCATTAGTGTCTGAGTCCACAGTGCTTTCTGGATGTAGATGAACTACAACTCCAAAACTCAAGGTCAATGTCCACCAAACCCTTCCAGTATTTTCTGTTGGTCGTGAGAGTTCTGTGTGCCAAGTTTGGTTCAAGTCCATCATTGGTGGAGTTCATAATGCTCTTTGATTGTAGGTGAACTATCAATCCCAGTAACTACAACTCCCAAATGACAAAATCAGTACACCCCCCCCCCCCCAACCTCATCAGTATTCAAATTTGGGCATATCAGGTATTTGTGCCAAATTTGGTCCAGTGAAAGAAAATACATCCTGCATATCAGGTATTTACATTATCATAAGAGTAGCAAAACTGCAGTTATGAAGTAGCAACAAACATAATTTTATGGTTGGGGAGTCACCACAACATGAGGAACTGTGTTAAGGTGTTGCAGCATTAGAAAGGTTGAGAAACACTGTCTTAGAGTCTAAACACCTAGTCAGCCCTCCGCTCTTCACAATGTTGCGTATTTTTAGCAGATCCTAATAAAACTAGTCCCTAATTGTAGGTTTTCAATGCTTTCTTTTATGAACCCACTCAGCTTACTTTGTTTCATAGCATTGTGTGGCTGTAGAAGCCCTTTAAATGTGTAAGAATGCATGGACAAAAAGAAATAATTTATTTTCAAATATGAAAAAAGCCCAGAACTGTGTTGTTGAAATATGACTGCAGGCTGGAGAACTGTAAACCTTATTGGATAAAAACCCTTGCAATTCTTGAATTGATTTGGAAGGAGCTGCAGTGGAGATGCAAGCAGAAGGAATAGTTTTGATCTGGGTTTTATCAATGCTCTCTCTGCTATTGAACCTGCCATTTCTTTGTGGAATGTAATCATGCAGATGCTGCAGAGATTTATTAAATACAATTTCTTGGATAAACATTGATCGAGGAGACCACTTTCTTCCTCCTCACATCCCTGCATCATTTTCAGAACCAACAAATTTGTCTTTGTAGCCAATATGCAATAAGTTGCGAACTGTAAACTGCACGTGACTGTGTACTACTGGATACATTGTGCTCCTTGCTGAGAGGGGGAAATGTTTTTTTAAAGCTTACAATTTATACACAATGTTATTACTCTTTTGCAGAATCTGTGTATATGCCTGTGCATTTGCAGACATAAGATATACATCTTGAGTGCACACAGACACAGCGGGACTGAATAATAACACTGTACAATTAATAATGTAAATTTCTCTGGTTGCTTCCCTGTTGAGTATTTGTCCCTTGCTCTCCACCCAACCTATGCTTGCACTAATGCTGTGCAAGAGCTGGTCTGATTTGTAAACATCATATAATGGTGACTTCATCCTTAATCTGCAACAGATGTACAAGTCCAGATGTGCAAGAAAAGCAACATGCGACAGTAGATACCTGAGCCTAGTGTCCATAGCAGACAGCTCAAACTCAACAGATAAAGAACATTTATTTATTTATTTATTATTCAAACCTATATGTCGCCACTTCCCTAGGGAAATTTTTTTCACCAAAGAAACTGCAGTGTATTGGTTTGTGACAAGGAAGAGGTGGGGAAGTGGGCATTGACTACAACAGTAGTTCCCAACCTTTTTTTGACCAGGGCCCAACTGACCAGGGCCCACTTTGACTGGGAACCACTTTGACCGGGAACCAGCC